GGGCGGTCTGTCTTCCTAACTGTCAACATTCACGATTCGATCGCGGATTCGACCTGAGGATTCGGGTCGCAGCATAAGTTCATCTTCGGGGTAGAATGAATGCGCAGCGATGTGTAAATGTGGCCCCTAGCTAGGCTTTCCTTCAGAGGCGCACGAGAGGTCTCGCTACAATAAATAGGTCTGTGCCTACGTGGCGCCACATCTCAGCACGGTCACTCAATCGCGCAGCCATCGTTGCGTGTACAGTACGATGACGACGATGTGGGATGAGCGGGACCATGCACTTGGCACGTCTGATGAGTCGTGGCTGACTTAACTTGACTTCAGCCCGGGTGCGCTCTCGCAGACGAGACGCTATCTCAGCGTGATTCAAAGTGATCGCCACTGCACCACCCTAATTCAAGACGACGACTCATTATTTCGACAAGATGGGGAGGTGGCAAGGAGGTAGACAAGGTGAACTCTTGTTGTATGTGTGCGATGCATCTGATCGCATCTATGCGCGAGGAATGCTGATATCAGGAGATGCTTGGGGTGCTGCACGTACGAGCAAGTCGTAATGGCCGGGACGGAAGAGAAGCGTACCCTGTGATCGCGACGGCAAGAAATTCTGAGTGCGTATGAATACGTGCCAACGGTGCTGCGAGAAGCGCTACTCACAATGTCCATGCCGACGCCAATCGTCGAGGGTACCTCAAACTCAACCAGGTCCACGCGATGCGGATCGTTCGCAGCTTCCCTCTTGGACGCAGCTTCCTCTCCGGGTACCGCCACGCCGCCAGCAAATGCTTCTCCCATCTTCTTCTCCAAAGCTGGGGTCTCCGGGGGAGCACCTGAAGCTGTCAAGTACGCGACGTGGAGCGAGACCTTCAAGCAGCTGCTAAGCGCTGCGATCTGGACGTGATCCGCTTCCTTGCCAATAGCCTCGACCTGATTAGCGCAAAAGTCATCAAGCGTGGGGGCTTTTCCCCCGTACTCATCCTCTAGAGTGAAGAGGAAAGGTGTGAAGTCCTCCGCATTGTCCTGCAATCGAAGATCGAGATTCGCCCGTTGCCGTCAATATGAGAGCGGGAGGAGCATACACCATCTCGGGCTCACCTTGAGGTATGCACTTGTCACCAGCCGCAAGTAGGCAACGATCGAGTTTACAATGTACGCATCGTTGAAAGCTTGTTGCAAGCGTTGATCATTGAGCTCCACGA